AAAGGCTAGTGAAACAAAAGCAAAAATGAACTTTTGGGACTTCATCAGGAAAAAAAGCTTCTACACAGCAAAAGAAACAGTCAACAAAACAAAGAGGCAATCCACAGAATGGGAGAAGATATTTGCAAATGACACTACAGATAAAGGGCTGGTATCCAAGATCTATAATAACTCTTCAAACTAAACACTCATAAAACAAATAATCAAATAAAAAATGGGCAGAAGACATGAACAGACACTTCTCTAAAGAAGTCATACAAATGGCTAACTGACACATGAAAAAAATGTACATCATCATTAGCCGTCAGGGAAATTCAAATCAAAACCACACTGAGATACCACCTTACACCAGTTAAAATGGCAAAAATCGACAAGGCAAGAAACAACAAATGTTGGAGAGGTTGTGGAGAAAGGAGAACCCTCTTACACTGTTGGTGGGAATGCAAGTTGGTACAGCCACTTTGGAAAACGGTGTGGAGTTGCCTCAGAAAATTAAAAATAGAGCTACCCTATGACCCAGCAATTACACTGCTGTGTATTTACCCCAACGTCACAGATGTAGTGAAAAGAAGGGCCATATGCTCCCCAATGTTCATGGCAGCCTTGTCTGCAATAGCCAAACAGTGGAAATAGCTGAGATATCCTACAACAGATGAATGGGTAAAGAAGATATGGTCCATATATACAATGGAATATTACTCAGCCATCAGAAAAGATGAGTAGCGAAGTTTTATGTCAACATGGATGGGACTGGAGGAGATTATGCTAAGTGAAATAAGTCAAGCAGGGAAAGTCAATTATCATACAGTTTCACTTATTTGTGGAACATAAGGAATAGCATGGAGGACATTAGGAGAAGGAAGGGAAAAATGAAGGGGGGGGAAATCGGAGGGAGAGATGAACCATGAGAGGCTATGGACTCTGAATAACAAGCTGAGGGTTTTTGAAGGGAGGGGGTGGGGGATGGGGTAGCCCGGTGATGGATATTAAGGAGGGCATGTACTGCATGGAGCACTGAGTGTTATACGAAAACAATAATCGTGGATCACCGCATCAAAAACTAATGATGTAGATTTGCACAGTGGCAGTATTGTAGCCAATGAGGTTTATCCGAGGTGCGATTATTGCTAACTGAAAAACTAATGATGTATTGTATGGTGACTAACATAACATAATAAAATTAAATTAAAATTTTTTTTTAAAAAATTAAAAGTTGAGAAAGAAACTAATGATGTATTGTGTGGTGACCTACATAACATAACAAAGTAAAATTAAAAAAGGAATGCAAATAAAAAAATAAATAAAAATAAATAAAGTGCCAGTGGTATTTTTCAAGGGTCTGGAACAAACAATCCTAAAATTTGTATGGAACCAGAAAGGGCCCTGAATCACCAGGCGATTGGTGAATATGAAAACCAAAGCTGGGGACATCAGGTTCCCAAACTTCAAGCCATATTACAAAGCTGTGATCACCAAGACAGTATGGTATTGGCACAAAAACTGCTACGTAGACCAATGGAACATAATAGAGACTCCAGAAATGGACCCTCAACCCTATGGTCAACTAATCTTTGGCTAAGGTGGTAAGAATATCCAATGGCAAAAAGGCAGTCTCTTCAATAAATGGAGTTGGGAAAATTGGACTGGCACTTGCAGAAAAAGGACATTGGACCATTATCTTACACCATACACAAAAATGGACTCAAAATGGATGAACAATATAAATGTGAGACAGAAATCCATCAAAATCCTAGAGGAGATCACAAGCAGCAACCTCTTTGACCTCAACCATAGAAACTTCTTGCTAGACATGTCTCCAAAGGCAAGGGAAACAAAAGCAAAAATGAACTATTGGCACTTCATCAAAATAGAAAGCTTCTGCACAGCAAAGGAAACAGTCAACAAAACTAAAAGACAATAGACAGAATGGGAGAAGATATTTGCCAATGACACTACAGATAAAAGGCTGGTATCCAAGATCATTAAAGGACTTATCAAACTCAACACCCAAAAACCAAAAAATCCAGTCAATAAATGGGCAGAAGTCATGAACGGACATTCTTCAAAGAAGATATACAAATGGCCAACAAACCCATGAACAAAATGCTCCACATCACTCGGTACCAGGGAAATACAAATCAAACCACAATGAGATACCACCTCACACTAGTCAGAATGGCTAAAATTATGAAGACAGGAAACAACAAATGCTGGTGAGGTTGTGGAGAAAGGGGAACCCTCTTACACAGTTGGTGGGAGTGCAAAGTGGTTTAGCTACTCTAGAAAAGGGTAAGTGTATGGAACTTCCTCAAGAAGTTAACAATAGAGCTACCCTAGGACCCAACAGTTGCACTCCTTGGTATTTACCCCAAATATATAAATATATTTTCTGAATGGGCACCTGTACTCCAATGTTCATAGCAGCAATGTCCACAATAGCCAAACTGTGGAAGGAGCTGAGATGCCCTTCAACAGAAGGATGGATAAAGAAGATGTGGTCCATATATACAATGGAATATTACTCAGCCATCAGAAAGGAAGAATACCTACATTTGCATCGACATGGATGGAACTGGAGGGTGTTATGCTAAGTGAAATAAGTCAATCAGAGAACAACAATTATCATGTGGTTTCACTCATATGTGGAATATAAGGAATAATGCAGAGGACAATAAGGCAAGGGAGGGAAAACTGAATTGGACGTGATTAGAGAGGGAGACAAACTATGAGAGACTTTTGATTCCAGCAAACAAATTGAGGGTTGTGGATAGAGTGTTGGGTGGAGGAATGAGGTAACTAGGTGATGGGCATTAAGGAGGGCTCAAGAGATGATGAGCACAGTGTGCTATATGCAACTGATGAATTATTGAAAACTACATCTGATACTAATGATGTATTGTGTGGTGGCTAATTGAATTTAAATAAAAAGTCTGCTTGGAAAATGGGGATTCTAATATCTTGAATCATAATCTCAATCAGATTTTTATTTTAAGTTCTTGTTATAATTGATATTGCATAGTAAATTCATATGTTAAATATAAATATGTGAACTCTGTTCAGTTTTAAATATATTATCTGTAATGCAATTAATTGCAGTAAAAATTCTGGAAGTAGCAAAATCTAAGGATATATGGATTTACATGTGGTAAATCCTCAGATATTTTCAAAAAGTGATTCATACCATATGAAGGAAAGAAGGCGTTATGATTAGACAATGCCTCACATTTTCTGTCAATGGTTGTATTTTTAAGCAGAACCAAATGTACAAATAGCTTACAAGTAACACAACTGAGGACAGCCTGCTGATTATGCACAGAATAAACTGTGAGGCTAGATTCAGGAAAATAGAATAAAACGGAAAATATTCAAAGTCCTCAGATGTTAGAGAGATTTCCATGGTGACACAGGTAAGTGAGAGTTTGTGAGGGTCTACATTACTGGGACTGCTTGTCCAGGTACTCCTGGGCCAGTGAACCCAACCCAAGGAGAGTCAGGAGGCAGATACATTAGATTAGTAATTGTTCTTACACATTCCTGGAATGTCTGAGATACACACACAGGACAGCTGCCAACAGACAGAAAGCCCCCCATTGGATTTCCCTCTTCTTGGGAAAGACCATCCCAAGGAGCTTCATGCTCAGGTGAGGAGTGGGCCTGGCCCTCTTTCACCTACAGAAGCACAGTTTTAACCCAGGGACAGAGGATCAGTTTCACGCAGACACCCCTTGGACACCCCCTTACAAGAATGTAAGGACTCTGAATGGAAGGGCCTTTCCTGTGACGCCTCTGAGGTCTGGGGTTCAGTGCTCATTTCATGAAAATTCAAGACAGCAAGCATCCCAGCATTTATTTATGAATTCCGTAGGGAAACCAGGATCTGATTGATGGGACAAAAGCAGGAACATGGGAGGAAGTGTCAGTATGTCTCATCAGTGGTTGATATATTATTTTTCTTCTGGATCATAGTTTGGGCCATGGAGGCCCATTTCTTCCCCACTTTAGGGCTCTGCCATCACGGTAGACATTCATTATTGAGCCTCACTTGCATCCGGCACTTGGTGGGAAAGAGTGAGAGGGCTCCAGCCCCATGGGGCTCAGGGTCCAGGACAGGTCGGGAGAGAAGTTAGAAGCAGGACAGAGTGAAGTCAGGGTGGTTTTGTGTGGGATACTAGAGGGACAGCACATGATGGGCAGGGATCTGGGCTCTGGCAGCTGGATCCCAGGATTCATGTGGATTCCCTGTGTGGAAGCTGGGAAACACCTCTCAGACACAGAGCTCAAGGATGCTCTCATGGACTCTCCCCCCAGAACAGGACCCAGCAGGACTAGGATGGGTTTTCCTCTCTGTCATGTCATCCCACCTGTTTCATGGGGAGATCTGAGAGCCCCTCCCATCAGGTGGGCTACTTTTCCATCCAGGAGACTGAGTAGTGCCTACTGAGGGGCAGTTCCTGATCACACGTGTCCACCCACGTGGATGATGAGACAGGATAAACTGTGGCCTGGAGGACAAGGACCCAGTTGGGCAGACGTCCTGGGAGGATGCTCATATCCATGTGGGGACAGTGTGTGCTTCCTGAGGACAGTCAACAGACACTCAGAATGCAGAGACCTTGGGCTGTGGGAATACCTAGCATGTCCTTTTTTGGAGAAAGAAAATGGGACATAGAAGAAGTTGATGATGAAATTTCCCCAGTGACTGGTGAAATCTCATCTACATGAAGACAACATTATCTCATCATGCTTGGCTGCATGGAGAATAAGAGAAATTAGAGATGGATGAAAAAATGTGATATATTCATGAGTGCAGCTGAGAGTCTAAGAGGAAATCCCTGATCTCGAAAGGAAGATCCACCCCCCCCACCGCACCTGCTGTTAGGTCTCATCTAATTGTCTGTGATGTCCTGAGCGTCCCCTAGTGTCCTGAGCGCCCTCTGGTGACCCGAACTCCCCTTGGTGACCTGATTGCCTGCTGACATACTGAGAGCCCCCTGGTGCCTTTAGCGCCCCTGCCACACAGCCTTTCCTCTGTTCCTGCAGGGAGGTTTGTGTCTGGTCTCACACTGACTTCCCCTCACTGTGTCCTTCACACAATAATACAAGGCTGTGTCCTCGGCTCTCAGGCTGTTCATCTGCAGATACAATGTGTTCTTGCCATTGTCTCTGGAGATGGTGAATCGGCCCTTCACAGAGTCTCCGTAGTTTGTGCTACTTCCATCACAGCTAATCCATGCGACCCACTACAGTCTTTTTCCTGGAGCCTGGCGGACCCAGCTCATGCCATTACTACTGAAGGTGAATCCAGAGGCTGCACAGGAGAGTCTCAGGGACCCCCCAGGCTTCACTAGGTCTCCCACAGACTCCACCAGCTGCACCTCACACTGGACACCTGCAGACATAAGACATCCTGGTCAGGAAACTGTCACACATCAAATGTTTCTCCACTAACATCCACTTACATACTCCACATCTCTTGTTCACCATGAATTACTTTTTAAAAGAGTGACAAGGAAAACCCAGCGAAGCACAAACTCCATAGTGAGTTGTCTGTGTTCTGTCCTGATCGCTGAATGGAACACCTGGTAATCCTGCCAGTAAGGCTCCTCTTCCTGCTGCATGGTCAGAATTGGGCCATTTTAATCAGTAGAGGGAGGGCCCTATTTGCAAATCCTCTGAGTACATAACAAATTTTCCAGGTAGTATCCTCAAGATGGCAGTGACCTAGGGCAGTTGTGAGGATCCTGGGGGAGTTTGGTCACCATGGTATCTTTCAGGAAACTGTGCTCTTTTAGTTTGTGATTTTTCTAGGGCAATTCCTTAGTACCTATTATCTTCCTTTTTTCACATATGCACCCAGAACTTGTGATGTAGGTAACAATTTTACCACCATTTTACAGGTGGAGAGGTACACACTGCAGCACAGAGGGGTTGTGTGAATGTCTAAGAGCACACAGCAGATGAGAGTGAGCCCAGTGTCTGGACCTGTGCTCCTCATCATGGGACCTGTGTGCTCCCCTGAACCACCTGCAGGACAGAGCTGGACATGAGATTTTCAGGCCTCCTGACTTTACAGAAGTCCCAATAGACTGATGTGTGGAGACCAGGTCTTTCTGTCACAGAAACTTGGAGACACTGAGAAGCCTTGACAGAGACTCACAGAGCTGATGGAGACGCTGTGGGTTTCCAACAACCATAAGGGGCATTTATACCTGATCTTTGTGTACACATCAATGGAAAGCCTCAATAGAGATAAGAGTGGAATTATTAGTCAAACAGTTAATGTCAAAACACCTGAGATCAGAAAGCATGCTGTTAAAGACAATTCTTCATTTCTGAAATGGAGATCATTGTACTTCCACACTCACATTTATTGCCATGATGATATCAATTATATTTATACCAGTGCTTGACCCTTAGCACATTTGGTCATTGCCATTTTGATGGCTTATTTTAAAAATGGAGGACTTGAGGGAAGGGCAAAGATGGTGGAGGAGTAGGGGACCCTATTCCAGCTGGTTCCCTGAATTGAGCTGGATATCTCCCAGACCACGCTGAACACCCATGAAATTAGCCTGAGATGTAAGAAGATATATCTGGATCTCTACAAACAGAATATCCCTGGTGGTTGGTTTTGAGGTATGAAGCAGGGAGCTGTGATTACTTGGGCACATATCAGAACATAAATGGAAGGGGGGAGGGAGTCTCTGGGATCCTGCACTGAAGGAGCTTGAAAGCTTCCCACCCTAGGGACCGGGCACAGACTGGCAGACCAGTAGTGGTGGGGAAAGAACCTTAGGGTAGCCCCCCCCCCAGACTGAAATTTGGAGCTTCAGAGGCATGCGTGTGAACAGGGGGCAGCTTGCAGTTTTAGAAGCACAAAGGGCAGAGACATGCCTGGACCTGGAAGTGAGGGCTGGGAGTGCTACTCTGGGGTGCACAACCCAGGACACTGCGGTTTTAGCAGCACAGACAGAAACGGAGACACTGTGGCCTGGAAAGCTCACTGAAGAACAGACTGGGATGTCTCTGTTCTGAAAAAGGGGCTCGGATATGGTCACTTCTTCTCTGACTCTCGGAAGAGACACAGAAAGCTGCCAGGGAAAGCCACCAGAGAACAAAATCCCTCGAAAACCGGTTGTCACTGAGCACATCCCTCCCCACAGGGGTCAGGGAAACTCCACCCAAACAGGGTTGCCTGAGTAACAGTGTGGCAGGCCCTTCCCCCAGAAGACAGGCTGGGAGAACAAGAGGCCAACAACACTAAGGTCCCTATAAAACAGGTGCATCTTGCTTGGGTTGTGGTCAATAATTTGGACTCTGTACATTCCCTCAACCACCCCTCAACAGAACGACTAGGAGGAGGAACCCCCAAAATAGGAAAGACTTAAAGACTGACCTATGCCACAGAACAAATGCATATGGAAATAAGCAAGATGTCAGAAATAGACTTCAGGATAACAGTCATGAAGACAATAGCTAGATTGAAGAAAACGATTAATGACAATATAGAGTCTCTAAGGGCAGAAATGAGAGCTGATCTGGAAGAACTTAAAAATGCTATCAGTGAGACCAATCTAATCTAGATCCTCTAACAGCCAGGGTAAGTGAGGCAGGAGAACGAATCGGTGATCTAGAAGACCAACTGACGGAAAAGAAGGAACAGGAGGAGGCCTGGAGCAAACAGCTTAAAATCCATGAACACAGAATTAGAGAAATAAGTGATGTCATGAAACGTTCCAATGTTAAAATTACTGGGATTCCTGAGGGGTTGGAGAGAGAGAGGGGGCTAGAAGATATATTTCAGCAAATCTTAGCTGAGGAATTCCCCAATCTGGGGAATGAAACAAGCATTGGTGTCCTCGAGACAGAGATGACACCTCCCAAGATCAAGGAGAAAAGACCACAGTCCTGCCATTAATAGTAAAACTCACAAATCTTAAAACCAAGGAAACCATCTTAAGGGTAGTTAGGGGGAAGAGATTTCTTAACTATAGAAGGAGGAACATCAGAATAGCATCAGACCTATCCATAGAGACCTGGCAAGCCAGAAAGGGCGGGCAAGACATATTCAGGGTACTAAATGAGAGGTACATGCAGCCAAGAATACTTTATCTGGCAAGGCTGTCATTTAGAATGGATGGAGAGATGCAGAGCTTCCAGGACCAGCAGAAACTGAAAGAATATGTGACCACTAAGCCGGCTCTGCAAGAAATATTAAGGGGGGTTCTATAAAAGGAAAAAGACCCCAAGAATGATATAGAACAGAAATTAACAGAGACAATCTATAGAAACAGGGACTTCACAGGCAACATGATGACAATAAAATCATATCATTCAATAATCACTCTCAATGTGAACGGCATAAATACGCCCATGAAATGGCACAGGGTTGCGGACTGGATAAAAAGACAGGACCCATCCATATGCTGTCTACAAGAGACTCATTTTGAACCTAAAGATACAACCAGACTGAAAGTGAAGGGATGGAGATCCATCTTCCATGCCAGTGGACCTCAAAAGAAAGCTGGGGTAGCAATTCTCATATCAGACAAATTAGATTTTAAGCTAAAGACTGTAGTTAGAGACACAGAAGGACACTATATCATTCTTAAAGGGTCTATCCACCAAGAAGATCTAACAGTTGTAAATATCTATGCCCCCAACATGGGAGCAGCCATCTACATAAGCCAACTGTTAACCAAAATAAAGAGTCATATTGATAACAATACGCTAATTGTAGGAGACCTCAATACTCCACTCTCAGCAATGGACAGATCATCTAAGCAGAAAATCAACAAAGAAACAAGAGCTTTGAAGGACACACTGGACCAGTTGGACCTCATAGATATATACAGAACATTCCATCTTAAAACAACAGAATACTCATTTTTCTCGAGTTCACATGGAACTTTCTCCAGAATAGACCACATACTGGGCCAAAAATCAGGTTTCAACTGATACTAAGAGATTGACATTATTCCGTACATATTCTCAGACCATATGCTTTGAAAGTGGAACTCAACCACAAGAAAAAATTCGGAAGAAATTCAAACACTTGGAAGCTAAAGACCACTCTGCTTAAGAATGTTTGAGTTAACCAGGAAATCAAAGAAGAACTTAAAAAATTCGTGGAAATCAAAGAGAACAAAAACACATCTGTCCAAAACCTCTGAGGTACCACAAAGGCAGGCTTAAGGAGGAAATACCTAGCCATCCAAGCCTCACTCAAAAAAATAGAGAAAGCTCAAATTCCCCAACTAACTTTACATCTTAAAGAACTGGAGGAAAAACAACAAATGACGCTTAACCCACATTAGAAAATATATAATTAAGATTAGAGCAGAGATCAATGAATTAGAAACAAACAAACAAACAAAAAACAGTAGAGTAGATCACTGAAAGTAGAAGCTGGCTCACTGAAAGAAATTTTTATTTATTTATTTTTTTAACTTTTATTTTATTATGTTATGTTAGTCACCATACAGTAAATCATTAGATTTTGATGTAGTGTTCCATGATTCATTGTTTGTGTATAGCACCCAGTGCTCAATGCAATACGAGCCCTCCTTAATACCTATCACTGGGCTAACCCATCCCCCCACGCCCACCCCTCTAAAACCCTCAGTTTGTTTTCAGAGTCCATCATCTCTCACGGTTCATCTCCCCCTCCGATTTTGCCCCCTTCATTTTTCCCTTCCTTCTCCTGATGTCCTCCATGCTATTCCTTATGTTCCACAAATAAGTGAAACCATATGATAATTGACTTTCTCTGCTTGACTTATTTCACTTAGCATACTATCCTACAGTCCATCCATGTTGATGCGAAAGTTGGCTATTCAACCTTTCTGATGGCTGAATAATATTCCATTGTATATATGAACAACATCTTTATCCATTTATCTGCTGAAGGACTTCTCAGCTCTTTCCCCAGTTTGGCTATCGTGGACATTGCTGCTATGAACATTGGGGTGCATGTGGCCCTTCATTTCACTATATCTGTGCTTTGAGGTAAATACCCAGTAATGCAATTGCTGGATCATAGGTAGCTCTATTTTTAACTTTTTAAGACGTAAAGTTAGTTGGGGAATTTGGGCTTTTTCTATTTTTTTGAGTGAGTCTTGTATGGCTAGGTATTTCCTCCTTGGGCCCGCCTTTGCTGTACCTCATAGGTTTTGGACAGATGTGTTTTTGTTCCCTTTGATTTCCACGAATTTTGAGGAACCTCAAACAGCCGTTTGCCAAAGTGGCTGTACCAACTTGCATTCCCACCAACAGTGTAAGAGGGTTCCCCTTTCTCCACAACCTCTCCAACATTTGTTGTTTCTTGCCTTGTGAATTTATGCCATTCTAACTGGTGTAAGGTGGTATCTCAAGGTGCTTTTCATTTGAATTTCCCTGATGGCTAATGGTGATGAACATTTTTTCATGTGCCTGTAAGCCGTTTGTATGTCTTCTTCAGAGAAGTGTCTGTCATGTCTTCTGCCCATTTTTTGACTTGATTATTTGTTTTTGGGGTGTTGAGTTTGAGATGTTCTTT